CTTCGTTCGGCTGGTTTCGAGCTCTTGATTGATGGCTATTCTTCTGAGGCGTCGATTGTTTGTGCGACTGATTATTTCGGGCCACTTGTAAGGGCACAAACTGATTGGCGAACGGCGACTGACCGCCCAATGCATTGACCGCTGCGTTCATCTGTGGATTTCGTTTCTGTTGATGACTATCATTAATGCTATCATTCGGTACTTTCTTCTGCATTATTCTCATTTGAGTGGACTTTCCTTCGGTCGAAACGTTCACAAAATTATCAGTTTTGGCGTCGAATAACTTTTTTGGCGAAATGTTTCGCTCCTTATTTTGTCCGGTGTTTGTGTTTGCTTTGTAAGACGGGTTCCCTTTTTGCAACTGCTGGAGAATTCTCTCATTCTGTTCAACAAATGAGTCGGGAATTTGTACAACGGGTGCCGGTCTGCCGAACGGCTGATTCATGGGTCTATTGGTCTTAATCCAATTGGTCGGCGGCCGCGGCAGTGAACTCTCATCGATTCGGAGCCGATTGGGAGACGACTGGTTGGGGTCGACGAACGACGGCGACGATAACATCTTTCGCGGACGACTTAAATCAATGTTAGCGTTAAATCTCTGATTGATATACATTAACGCATCTCTGGCCAGACATTCGGACGCGTCTTCAACGGTGTTGTGCGAGTTGTGGAGAGTATGGAAATACTTGCCGTCCGGAAGTGTCAGTTTCAGAGCATTCGATTTCATGGGTCCGAAAGTGTATGTTTCGTATTTGGCCTTTAATTGATAGTAACGTTCGCAAGCGTTGGTTAATATTGTCCTAAAACTCTCGATTAATTGAATCTTATGTTTATAGGATTTGTTTTGCGCAAAATTCTCGGTTCTCGGTTGTTGTGGATTCCTTTGACTCTTATTTCTAGCGCCGGATTTGTTTCTATCGTTTTGATGTCTGACCGCTTCAGCCGACGGGTTCTGAGGTTCGGGCTGTGCTTTTCCGACGACAGCCGAAGCGAACGATTGTTTTGTGGGCATTAAGTTCTTGTCGTTTGTATTCATTTTCGCTAATTTACTCCACAAGTCATCCATCATTGGCGGGAATTCGTCGCTCTTATGGGACTCGTGTTTCGGCGACTGAAAGGGAGATGTTTTCGAGTGGTTTAGTGTTTGTATGGAAATTGCTGTTTGAGTATTGGATACGTTTGTGTTGCCGAACGGCGCTATGGTTTGAGGTCGTTGTCGAACTACTCCTTTGCCGGCCGGCGAACCGTATTGACAGTAGTTCTCAAAGTCGCGCTGTTGTTGTCGGGTCTGATGAGCCGCTTGTTTGGTCTGAGGTCTCGTTTGCAAGGGTTTACCCGAACCGACAAATTGTTCGTATTTTCCCGACAATTTCAGTCCGTATGTGATGTTAATGAGGTTCGCGGGCGAGAGTTTGTATCCTTTGCCAGGAGTGCATCTCAACGTCAATCCGCCCACAAATTCTTCGTCAAACACAATGTCGTACAAAGTGTTCACTTCATTCGTCTCGTCATCATATATGCCAATTACAGTGCCCTTCGCTCCCAATGGCACTGAAATACCGCTTCGAATGTTAACCACGCGGTCGAAGAGGTTGTACGCGGCCTTCGGGTCGGGCAGAGAGTAACCCAAGTAATGGATCGGACGAAACAATTGGTTCGGTTTATATGTCTCCATAACGGGTGGAATTTCCTTAGGAAACACCTAAACAATAACACAAATTGTCGAAAATAAAGTTAGCCATAAATTACTCAATTATGAATGCCTTACGATATGAGTATTGATCACATCCTCAATGGCTTCGACAATGAATTCATCGAGAATTTCTGCGTTACATTTCTGCCGCTTCTCTCCCGCCGATGGCAGAGATCTCAACCAATTCTGTATCGTTTCCAAAGTCTTTCCTCTATAATACCAAACCTGTTATTAATATCATTAAACAATCATTTATAAAATAGATTACTTGTTCTCTCCCGGGATTAAGTCATCGGCAGTGAAGAAGTCTTTTTCGACACAAGAGGAGAGTCTCTCAAAAATGAATGGAAATTTAGTTAAGTATTCTTCCATCATCTTAAAAATCTTGTCAGAGAAGAGCCAATTATCATCGCGTTTGATGGAATAGCCGGGAATTTCTTCATTCCTTGAGTTAAATTTCAAATTCAACCCAATGTTTATCTTTCTTTGTTTTTCATTCGCCGGCAATACAAAGATAGTTCCCGTAATCCGAGACAATAGATGTCCACTTATACCAAGTCTTTGCGATAACACATAATTGGGAACATATCTCTCGTGTATTATCTCGTGAGCTCTGTCTTGAATTTCTCTCAAATCGGGTTCCAATTGCGGCAATACCTCCACATTAATGACACCATTGTTTGTGTGGCAGTCAATCACTCGGGCCTCTGACCCGTAGTAAGGGTTGACGATTGGGAAACATTTGGCGCCCGTTGGGTACATCTCATCAATGGTCTGGAACTGTTGGTAACTATTCTCGTATGTATTGAGTTCTTTGACAACCAACTGAATCGGACACATCATCGGTTGACGAGACCATTGCTTCTCTAAAGTGACCCTTCCTTTCACTCCGTGAATATATTTACGTCCAGTCATTGGGTAGACGTGTAGCACAACGTCGGGCTGACCCACAATTATACCCCATCTCTCTTTGCATCTCTTAATGATAGACTTAATGCGAATACAATTCACATTATACTCGTCGGGCTCGACGTCTTCGCGAACGACACGTGTGTTAGCAATGGTGTACTTGTGGTCGGCGTTCGACACCTGAAATACCTTCGCCTCCAAGAGATGCGGCCAATTGACGAAAACGGTTTTATTCAAGTAGTGTTTGGCCACACACTCGATGTCGTACTCCGTATCGTTGTTCACCACTAACATCATGTTCTCTCCCATTGACGCCGATTCAAACACTCGGACCCTCTCTTTCCTGATGACCGCCTCGTGAGGGATGTGTTGTAGTGTTGGGAAACCAGCGAAATATACATCCAATTTGACTCCGTTTGGCAGTCCTTTGTGGATGTCGTCGATTGGGATTCTGAAGCCATTTAAGGGCACATCCAAACATCGGCCGTGATTTATGACAATCTCGGGAAATACGGACCGATTGGGTGACGGAAATCTGTCCAATTGTTTTTCGCTATAAGTGAACACGAGATGCGGTCCGTGACGGTTGCGATTCACCTCTTCGGGCGTTAAGCGTCGTTCAAGTTCTTTGACTGCATTCAAGAGACGCTTTTCATCGATAAACGGGATGAGAACCACTGCCTCCCAGGCCTGTTGTTTCTCATTCTGGTCGGTCTCAAAGTCTTGTGGATAATAGTCTATGAGTTGGGAATTAGGATTTGTTACCAACGGTTCGAAGGCTTTGGGCAGTAAGTCTTTGCTGGCGGCCGGAAGTACTGCCAACAGTTGTTCAAACGGCTTAAAGGGTTCTCCCATATCGAAGTTGAGGTCAATGTCAGCGAAATTGTTAACATCTGAAATATAGGGCGCGTAGTGGTGCGGGTAATACCAACTCCAAGACATACAGCCGTTGTAATAGTAGTGTAGATTCCATTGAATGGCGCGAATGTATTCGTACGCCTGTTCTTTGAGGACCGAGTCGTCCACATGACTGTAATTCAATTTTGTCATATAATAGTCTCGCTTATGGGACGCGAACTCTTCCATAAACATATCGGAATCACTGCTTTCGTACACTTCGTCCACTTCTGAATCGCTATTATCCAGATTTATCAACACCTCGTTGTTTGGGATTAAATCGCACGGAATTTTGATACCATTGCCATCTTTGGCGCCAAGTTTTCGACCCGTTTTAGACTCGAAGTACTTGAGGTCGGCGTAAGTGTCGTTGAAGTTATCGATGTCTATGTTCTTCAACTCATTGATGTATATCTGGAATCGATATAAATTGAGTTTTCCGTCTTCGTTGAGATACCCGTCAAGTGTTGGCAACACTTTCTTATATACAGAATATAACTTCAAGAGTGAGCTCTTGTTTATATGGAAGTGAGGGATGTGTGGTATGAAGTCGTTGCCCACGAGGAAACCCATGAGAACCCAGTCGTCAATAATGGACTCAAGATTATAACCAAATGCGAGACATGTCTTGAGTTCGGAGAACTCGTGGTCCAGATATTCGCGAAATAGCGACAAATGAAACAAATGAAAAGTAATCGCTTCTGGATTCGAGTCTCTCTTGTTTTTCTCGGTTTTGCTGCGAATGTATTTCACTTCTTCGCGAAGCAGTGAGAAGTGGGGTTCGTGTGAACACATGCCTAACATAATGAGATCGGCGTCCAAACCGTACAAACAGTGGCGAGTGTTTGGATCGTAAAATGGCTGCGACTTCTCGAACCGAATGTAGTCCATAATCTTGTGCTCTCCCTCTCCGGGGGTCTCGTGTCCGCTGAGTATCACTTTCACGTCACGCCAGAGATCGTCGGTCGAGATCTTATTGGTCACGAAGTACTTCAAGTGCTGATGGAGTCGATCCATGAATGGAGTGCCGGGAGTAATACAATTCGAGTCAAAACGCTTCTCTTTGGGAAGTGTTTCGCCCTTTTCTATGGCCTCGAGTTCACGCGTTTCCGCCTCTTTGGCCGACCGGAAGCGTCGACCTCTCTGTTGATTCATCTTAGCTCTGGGGGCGACGCCATCGATGGCCATGAAGAACACTTTGCGCGGTTTAATCATTCGGAACAAGAACTCGATGTACCGGAAGATGTCCTGAAAGATCTTCTCTTCGCTGATGCGGATTTTTCTCGGTTTTGCTGCGAATGTATTTCACTTCTTCGCGAAGCAGTGAGAAGTGGGGTTCGTGTGAACACATGCCTAACATAATGAGATCGGCGTCCAAACCGTACAAACAGTGGCGAGTGTTTGGGTCGTAAAATGGCTGCGACTTCTCGAACCTAATGTAGTCCATAATCTTGTGCTCTCCCTCTCCGGGGGTCTCGTGTCCGCTGAGTATCACTTTGACGTCACGCCAGAGATCGTCGGTCGAGATCTTATTGGTCACGAAGTACTTCAAGTGCTGATGGAGTCGATCCATGAATGGAGTGCCGGGAGTAATGCAATTCGAGTCAAACCGCTTCTCTTTGGGAAGTGTTTCGCCCTTTTCTATGGCCTCGAGTTCACGCGTTTCCGCCTCTTTGGCCGACCGGAAGCGTCGACCCCTCTGTTGGTTCATCTTAGCTCTGGGGGCGACGCCATCGATGGCCATGAAGAACACTTTGCGCGGTTTAATCATTCGGAACAAGAACTCGATGTACCGGAAGATGTCCTGAAAGATCTTCTCTTCGCTGATGCGGAAGTGCACGTCTTCGTCGTTAGGGTNTTCATCTTAGCTCTGGGGGCGACGCCATCGATGGCCATGAAGAACACTTTGCGCGGTTTAATCATTCGGAACAAGAACTCGATGTACCGGAAGATGTCCTGAAAGATCTTCTCTTCGCTGATGCGGAAGTGCACGTCTTCGTCGTTAGGGTGGGAACAGTTGTGGATTATGCCATTCATATCCAGATATAAGTTATCAAACTCTGGGATCTGTTTCAAAGACATCGAGGGTTAGAGTGAATGCGTTTGGGAGTCATTTTGGACGTGAAGACAGTCATTACCTGATACTCGCGGACCACTTCACTAAGACATGGATAGCGTTCGCTAATCCATCGGTAAAACTTCGGGACACCCATTGGTGGACAGTGTTTGGGATCAAGTGTTCAGACAATGGACTCAATGTATGAACGGATCAAAAGACGACTCTTTTTCGTCAATTTGTTTTCATTCTCTCAAAGACTCGACACAAATGATGTCTTCCTATAAATTAGACCACAAATTGAATCCACTATTCATTCAATGATTAATACAATTCACTGTTAATTGAAAGCAATTTATAAATGAAATAAATGTCTAAAATGTGAACAAATCATAAAAATTGCGAATTAATTGAAGAGTTAATTGGATTTAGTGTTAGAAATGAATGTTTCAAAAGTGCTTTCCATAGGAAAGCGTGTGTTTTGTCGCTCACTATATGTATAGTAAAGCCCTCTTTGGGTGGCTTTCGTTGAGAACTCACGACTGGTTTGTCATTAGATCCGACAAAATGTTTGAATCACTTCTTAACGCAATACCACATCATATGGTAATTATCTGTTGATATAATCGATAACCAATTGTTACCAAACGTTTGTGTCTTTCGTGAGCAGGACTTTGATGGCCAGCGAAGAGCCGAACGCTATTTCCAACTCATTATCGTTGTGTTTGCCGTAAGTGTTGTTATAATGACGTGTAATATACACACCATTCATACCAATTGTCGCCCAAACAGCTGTCGGGTCTGGTCTGGGGTTATGTCGTCCAACAGTTCTCGATGACTGTCTACACTCTGGGTGTGGGCTTTGTGTTGGCATCACTCGTATGTATTATCTGTATGTGTTGTGGCGCCCATAGGCTAACCAAGTGTTGTCCCTAAACAGCTAACCCTTCCTCCGTGGCCTATGTATCGCCGTAAACCACTTAATTGGCAAAAACCCAAAACCGGTGATTCCGTCGCTAAGTCCTCAAAGAAGAAGAAATAAAGTATTGCTTTTGTATTAAAGTGTTGAAGCGTTGAGTTTGTATGACATGACATGTCCTCTAAATCCATATTATTTAATCTTTTCAATGGTTTTTATCCATCATTTGTCTCATTATATTTGGAAATGAATACAATTGACTAATTTTTTGATATTTTATTTGTAATTTGTGTTGAGGTCTGAGAGAACTTCCCATTCCTTTATATTCTATAGAATTTTATGTCTTTCGTGAGCAGGACTTTGATGGCCAGCGAAGAGCCGAACGCTATTTCCAACTCATTATCGTTGTGTTTGCCGTAAGTGTTGTTATAATGACGTGTAATATACACACCATTCATACCAATTGTCACCCAAACAGCTGTCGGGTCTGGTCTGGGGTTATGTCGTCCAACAGTTCTCGATGACTGTCTACACTCTGGGTGTGGGCTTTGTGTTGGCATCACTCGTATGTATTATCTGTATGTGTTGTGGCGCTCGTAGGCTAACCAAGTGTTGTCCCTAAACAGCTAACCCTTCCTCCGTGGCCTATGTATCGCCGTAAACCACTTAATTGGCAAAAACCCAAAACCAGTGATTCCGGCGCCAAGTCTTCAAAGAAGAAGAAATAAAGTATTGCTTTTGCATTAAAGTATTGAAGCGTTGAGTTTGTATGACATGACATGTCCTCTAAATCCATATTATTTAATATTTTCAATGGTTTTATCCATCATTTGTCTCATTATATTTGGAAATGAATACAATTGACTAATTTTTTGATATTTTATTTGTAATTTGTGTTGAGGTCTGAGAGAACTTCCCATTCCTTTATATTCTATAGAATTTTATATTTAATAATAAAAACAATTTTCAATTGATTTGTTTCAAAAACCCGTCGATTTGTTTCTGTCATTTAGTTAATTAAATGTGTGAAGAGTTAAATCGTTTAATAAGTTTTTCAATTATAATAACATTTATATATATATATACTTAAGCTGTAAATAAGTAAATATATCTCCAAATACTGTACATTTAGTCAACACTTTAAGGATTTGTTTCGACAGAAATAATTGTGTTTTCATTTTCATTCGTCAAACGGATGGTTATATTATATGCGGTATTCAGTCATCGATCTGTTCGATCTCACCGGCCATACGGTCGGGATCTGCCTGTACTGTGAAGCCCAGTATGGAGTTGTCGATCACACGTTTGCCTTTCTTCTTCTTTTTGGAGCTCTGGATGAAACCACTCATATCTATATCGCTATTATTGGTCACCGAATTGACTGCACACGCGTTCGGTTGACTTAATTTGTTTGCGGACGGAGTTATGGCCGGTGCCGGTCCCCACATCAGCTCCTATTGCAACACAAACAACACAATGAGATTCACTATTCATTTCAATATAATATATGAATGAATGCCAACCTCTGAGGCTTCCTTTTTGGCCCGATTTCGGAAATAAGATCGCCTTTCGATGAACTGTTTGGCGAACTCTTTGACGTCTTTCCCCTCTCCGAGATATGAACGAACGTAATCATTGATTTCGAAGGGAGATTCCACGTCCTTTAGAAATGCTATGAATGTCGGAACTGTTCCGCCAAACAAACACAACAATCCAATCAATCAATGAGAACATTATCATTCATACGACAGATTTGCATCACTTACTGTCAACACTTGACTGATATTTAGAAAGGGCTTCAATACACCATTGCGTGAATTCGTCGTTTTTTTGTCGCCTTTGGTGTTCAAAGAGTCGCAAAACTGATTCCTGTATTACATTTAAAACACGTTTAGATTTAATTGTATTAATAAATCAGTAATAAATACCTCATCTTTTTTGTCTCTCGCACTGATTTTTGTCTGAAATTGAGTGTTATTTGTATTGCCCTTTGAATTGGTTTGCATTGAATGTAAGGCACTTTCATTGGCTCTATTGGTCTGAACTTTTCGAGATTCCGGTTCCCAGAAGCCGATGGAAACGGCGTTGTTATTGTTGCTCTTCGCCGACGAGGTCTGGATCGGTGGCGGAATAGACTGTCCAAAGAGCTGATTGTTGGCATTGTTCCAAATGCCAGCGTTTGGCACATTATTAGTCACTTGTGTTTGTTGTTTCTTATTCTCAATCACCCGCTGTTTCGCCACTTTCTCGGCCTCTTCTCGCTGTATGTCAGCCAACGTCTTGAGGGGAGCGGCGGTCGGCTGAAAGGTGGTGGCGGCCCAACCCGACGATTGCTTGTTCTGTTGCTGTTGTTGGGCTGCGAACAGCGCCTGCATGTGCTTCTGTTGCAACGCTTTCCTCTGTCGCTCTTCGCGTTCCTTCTCCTCTTGAAGTCTCTGAATGTCGTCCAATGAAAGCGAATTTTGTGGCTTTTGGTTCGGTTCGGGCGCTGTCTGTCCCCAACCCTTGCGCTGTCTCTCCTCTCTCTGTTGTTGGAGTTTAATCATAGCCTCCTGTTGTAGCTGTTGTTGGTTCTGCTGTTGCTGTTGAAGTTGTCTCAGTCTTTCCATTTCCATCGCTCTCTCCCTTTCCATTTCGTGTATTTGCTGTCGTTGTCTCTCTTTCTCCATTTCCATCTGTCGTCGCTTCTCTTCCTCCTGAAGCGCTTGTCGTCGGGCGTACTCTTCCAATCGGAGCAACTCTTCGTGACGCCTCTTCTGTTCTTCGGCAGTGCGGCGCTCCTCCTCTTCCATACGGAGCCTCTCCTCCTCTTCGCGCCGTCTATTCTCTTCTTCTTGTTTGCGGAGGAGTTCTTGAGCTCTCATTCTTTCGTCTTCGAGCTTCTTCTGGATCTCTTGAAACTTGCGCTCGCGTTCCTCATTCATGTGTCTTTGCATCTCTTCCTGTTGTTGCTCTAACTTCTTGCGGTTCTGTTCCTCTTCGAAAGCCTTACGTCTCTCCTTAAGCTCTTCGAGTTCTTTCAACTCCTGTTCCTTTCGCTGCATCTCTTCGATGGCAGACACTGAAAGAGCGCCGGTATTCAAGTCCCAAATACTCGACACGTTTTGGTGACTGTTGTTATTGTTGACCATTTGTTGTTGGGATCGATTGCCGTCAATTCGCAGACCCGACAACCTGTCCAGAGCTGCCATTTGTTGTGAGACATTGTCCTCATTCGCAGTTCTGGTCGGAATGGATGACTGAAGTGATTGCTGTCGCTGTTGTTCGAGAAGGACGTAGCGCTGGACCAGCACTTCCTGTTGTTGTTGTTGTGACAGTTCGGAAAAGCCCTCTTGTTTTTTGAGTTGAGCCAACAGTTGCCTCAACTGTGACTGCATATCAACACTCTGTTGGTTTGTCAATACGGGTTGCTGTGGTTGTGGTGCTTGCGATGGATGTGGAGTGGGATTTGATGGCTGCGGATGACGTATGTGTGACGATGCCATGGGATGATGGGATGGTTGCGGTGCGGGATGTGATGGGTGTGAGGGAGTGGATGATTGGGCGCGGAGGGGCGGGTGCTGGCCGTGAACCAGAATGAATGGTATGCAACCCCAGAGTTTGAGCAGTTCTCCCAACTGTGAGAAGTACTCATCGCATCCGCGCCTGACTAGAAGATCCATTGCGAAGTAACCGGCAGTAAACCAGTCGTACATCTCGTGGGGAGTGAACGGACCCTGGATTTCGTTCTGTGGGTCGCGATAGAACCACTTGAACGCGTCGTCGTGTTGTATCGGAAGCACAACAACACCGCCCGACGGCTGCTCTTCGGCGGCGACGACGGCCGCCAACCGCTGTTTGTTGTCTTTGGGCTCGTCGTCGGCCGTCCACTGGGCGACCATATTCTCGGCCTCCTTCTCCAGATGTGCGAATTGTCCGAATCCGTCCTCTTCTGACGAATTCTTGTTAATGTTATGTGAGTTTGAATTAGAATTCAATGAAGCGTTTGTTTTAAATAATTTATTTGAAGAGTTTGTAGGCGTTTGTGATGAGGACTGTGCCGACGATTGGGCCGACTTCTGCTGTAACTGTTTCAACACGTTTAGAGTCGACTCTTTGCTGTCACTGTTCTCATCGTTTTTTATCGATTTATCAATGTTTTGGTTTTGTTTTGCAATTTTAGACTCCTTTTGAAACTCATTATTAAGTGATTTTGAGTTTTGATTAGACCTTTTGGAAATGTCATCACTTTTTAGGGTTTCTCTCGAGTCGTCTCTATTCTCGTCGTCCAATTCGTTATCATATTTGGTTTCTTCGTCTTCATTGGTATCCTCTCTGAAAGCACCGGAAGCGTCAAACGTTCCCACTTTGGCGTCGACATCGGACGGGTCTTCGAGACTCCATTCCGGTAGAGACCCTCTGCGGTCCGGATCCTCGATCTCTTCCCACGACTCCGGATGTCTGTTATAGTCCTTTCGCCACAAAGCGCTCCGATTAGTAACGCTATTATTCCAGTTGTTTTCTGCCGACCCTCTGGCTGTCCTCCAGCCCTCTCTGTCTTCACCCCTTCCGCCAGTCCTCCAGTTCTCCACAGAAGACGAACGCGAATTGTTTTTACGCAAATCTTCGACAGCAGTGCCGACACCACCGCCGCGACTAAAACTTCTTTCGTATCCTCTCTTCTCTCTTGGATTAATGTTCTCTTCATTTAAGCTGTGATTTCGTTCAAACACTTTACTCCTCCCTCCGAGAAAGTCTCGCCGTTCTGGAGGACTATCGCCGCTCTCTTCATAATTTCCGCGATGATAATAACCGCCACGACCTCTGCCGCGGCCTCTTTCAGGAACACTACCCCCTCTGCCGGCTCTCATCGATACGCCGCCCCTTTCGGGAACGGGTCGGTCGCCTCTTTCGGGTCCATTGCCTCCTTTACCCATAAGTCTTAGCACAACATCACTGTTGACACGATTCCAAAGCCGCGATTCTTCCTCAGACATGTTGATCAGAGCTAACGGTAATTGCATTTTCTCAACAAAAAGGTGCGGAAACTCCGCTAAACTCTCGGGAGGTTTGAGGTTATGGTTGAAGAGCGCCAGCATTTCTTCTCTTCCGTATCGATATTCAGACAGTTTATACTTCTGCGGTGCGGACGGCGCGGGCGGACCCCCTGTGCCCGTCTGCGAGGAGTTGGGGCCGCCGTCTGACAACGCTCTCAGCCTTTAATTCACAATCAATTTCATTAAACAAACGCTTAAATCATTAAAAACGAGAGCAAAACATATGCGAAAAAACGTGCGTTAAATTCAATGCAAGACATTATATGCGATATTTAATAAAGCATTGAGTGTTAAAAGCGAGCGATAATTAATGATTCAATCAATGGATACCATTCGGGGCCGAACTTCATGTCTGTGGCCATCATTTGGTCGACAAACTGATCGCTATCTCTTCGCCAATTCAATGCCTGACCACGAGATCTCACTCTTGGCTTCGCGTTAACACGATATCACTTTGGGATCAAATCCAATAACTATAACAATGACACCAAATATTAACCATAAATACGTATCAATTAGTAATCAAAACAATTCAATCAATCGTTAATCAAATCAATAGACAATCAAATTGAGTGCAGAAGAAGAAGAAGTGGTAAAGAGTTGTGGTTTTTGTGACCAAATAGACGGACAAATACCTGTTATGGTGTGTATTGAGTGACGGCTCGAGTAGTAGTCGTGTGTTTGAGTCAATTCTATGCGGTTTTGTTGTCAAACAAAATGTCAATTAAATTAAATAATGTATTGATTTGTGGAAACAATTAGTGGAACAACAGATTGGCTGCGATTATAGTATAGTATGTGTTGTAGTCTTGTATTGCTATTACTCTCTATTATTGTATTCACTGTTCACTCATTCACTCTTCAATTGCTTGTACTCTCTCTCTCGCTCTCTGTCTCACAGACTCATAGACTTTGTATGTGTTATGTATTGTGTATTTCATAGCGAATAACAGCTGCAAAACAGTACAAAAACACTCGTCTCTAATATGGTGTCGATATTGTCTACAATTGCCACTCAATTACGTCCATATATTGCACACCATTTGGAGCCCTCTCTGCCATTGTTTGTGCCATTTGTGGTGCAATGAGTTGAGACCCCAATCAATACATGCCATCATTGGTGCGCAAAAGAGACCACTCTTTACAACGGATTCGTCCACTCCTTTGGTTTGGAAGCAATGCTTACAACAAATTACGGCCGAAAAGCAAAACAAATGTCTTTTTGATGGCAAACAAGCGATGGTTTAAGGATTGGATTTAATTGTCATTTAATACATAAAGTGATTGCAAAGAAACGCCAATCGATGGCTCTTAGGATTGTCTCAACACTGCTTTCGCCCTTTGTCACTAACAGCAGCTGACAGTAGCCTCGCCTAGACGCCGCTACAGGCAGTGCTCACCAAGCCACAGGCGCAGCTCGTGAGTCCTCAGTTGAGAACTCGTGATGAAGGCTGACTTGCGTCTCTTTCTTTGGGATAAAGCGAAAGAAGTGGTGGAGAAGGAGAGGGACTCACAGCGACTGCAACAGAACCAGTCGTCGATCATGTGCTCAATGATGACAGCGTTGGCGCAGATGTCTGTGGCCGACAAGAACTACATTCACCTCCACTTCTTGGCCCCCAAAGGCTTTCTACGCAAAGACGTGTTTGTATTTTCTGTCACTATCGCTGTTGCCATACGTTGTCATTGTCTCTGTCTTTGGATGTGTTTAGAGTGAAAGGGATGTACGAAACGCTCAGAAGTGAGTTCGAGAAACTTCACGAGAGGGGCAACGCTATTGTGTCGACCGAAACGGATCAGTTGACCACTCTATCCACTCCTAACACAACTCTGGCCAACGTTTCCAACACCCCTTTGGGCGCCTCTCTTAACACATCCTCGAGTTCTTCGAGCATTCTATCGATCGCCGCATCCTTTTCTTCGGCACTCATATTGACGTCGAGTCCAAACTCGCAAATGGTGTCCAACTCTAAAGCAACTCAAGAATGTTTGGATCGATTGGCGGCACATATTTGTGGACAACTCGTGCATTACGTGAGGGCTCGCATCGAAATGATGGAAATCTACGAAAAGATTACTATTGTTTCCAATCATAAGTTCTTGTTATTTGACGAATGCATTAACGGTTTGCAAGAGATTATAAGAGTGAATGGCCGGCACTTTCATCATCCGATTCTATCGGCCATCAAAACCGGTTTCAATAATGAATGCGATATTTTAATGGCTTTATTGAAAGCACACACAGATATACAAAATTTTAGATTTCTTGACAGTTTGTTTGGTATACAAGAAGCGCAAACAAAACTTAGTTCTTGGGCTCAAATGTCGTTGAATAGAGAGTCACCACAGCGTAGAAACTCTATACTGAGAACCACAGCCTCTCCTCCGCCACTGTATCAGTGGATGTGTCGACTGAAGTCTAGTCTATTATCTAAATATAGTTTATACTTCTATAGTACTCTCAGCAAACAGGTGTCCGACAACTGTTCCAATGATATCAAGACTGTTTGCAGTAAGCAATCGATTGATTACATTCAAAAAGTGTGTTCATTTCAGCGCAAAACTGAAGCCCAATTTGTGGCCATTCTTTTTGATACTCACGGCTGCGACGATTATAAAGGCTTCGGTTATTATTCGCCGTACAAGAGCTTTGAAAGTCCAAAAGGCATTGATTCCATACCTATTATTTACAATTATCCCTCAGAAGTGCCAAAAAATCATTTGCCGACTATTATAATGATTATGAATAACAAATCAAAAGAACTTAATTCTAGCGATGCTGTGGTCTCTCTGTTTGATTCACAATTGAATTCAACGTATTTCCTGATACGTCCGGATCCCAGAATGACTCTCATTGTGTAGAAACTCCGGTTCTTCAGTCTCTTTCTGTCAATACAGACCTTAACCTACGTTCTCTATACGCCTGTCGAATCCCCATTATTTTATATGCGTTGAGAATTCGGCCCATAGTTTATTAACGAGTGTAAATCTGTTTTATTGTTTGCTTTCAAATTAAATATTTTTATCAATATGTTATCAATAAAATATGATTGTTATGAGAAAATGATTATAATTATTGTACACTTCGTATAAATATTTATTGTTTTAAAGGAAGTTGTTTAGTATTTTATTCAGTGATTTATAAAGAATAAAGTTTTATCAATCATTTAAAAATTTACATAATTTATTAATAATTTAGTGAACAATAAGTAATGATAGTTTCAATATTTACCATAAGTAAGATATTTATTCTGCAAATCCAAACAGTTTTGCGATTGAATTATATTCTTATCATTCGTTTTCTATAAGTAAAAATAGTTTGTTTCAGTGTTTTGTTGAATTGAGAAATAAATCAAGAATGTTATTGAATATTTCATAGACTTCTTTATAAAACTAATCTATTATATAATCTATAACTACAAGTTATGGACAACGTATAATAATGGCCACATGCGTTATGTGGAGTTGACGGTAAGCGGGTGGTTAAGTAATATAAACCTGCGTAACACATAGTGAAGCATAACTCTTAGACATTATTTTACGTTACATTAAATAATATTAAAATTATTTAAACCATTTTTAATTTAACGAAAACAAACCCGGAATGTAATGATTAATGAGACAGTTTGCGAGTTTGATCTCCTTATTAGCAGTCCTTACGGAGTCGAGTAAGTCTTCGTGAAGTTTCTCGTATTCCGACTGAATGTCAGTTAATTCACTTTTCGCGTCTTTTAGGTAATAAAATGCCTAAAAGATTGATATAATAATTGAGAGAATTGACAGAATCTACAGCTATGTTGTTATAATGATTACCTTTTTAAGCTTTTTATTGAGTGCATTCACCTCTTCCTGAAGTGTTCCGTAAGAGTCTTCCATTTCGAGAAACTCCTTTTGTTTCATCTCAAGAGTTGACTGCAATTGCCTTTCTTTGTCTCTTCTCTCTTGCAGTTCGGCTTCACTTTTGGCGATCAATTGCTGTTGCATTTCAGCCTTTTCTATCA